ACTAAGAACACAGGGTGCTTGCTGTCCTTCCAGAGGGACTGAAAGTATCCCCTTTTGTTTATACCTCAAATCCCAATGTCCCAGTAGCCTGTTGCTCAACTTTCACCTCCAAATATGTTTACCCTCTACTAACATACTTCTTTCCAAGGAAAAAAATCTATTAAGAAGTGCTCAAACGTTACCTATGATATCAAACATACACTCCAAGTCAGTTTAACCAACTGATACTGTGATTCATGTAAAAAACAAAAAGCTTCTTTATTTTAACAGATATAAAATCCTGAAACAAATGCGCTTATAATTTTAGGATTCTATTTTAACAGTTAAAGGAGAGACATCTGGCAATAATCTACAAATAAATATACTGTCTCCATTCTTAGTTTCTCCTCCAAAACACTACCTAGGAAATTTTTGCAGCATGATTCATATAATCAACATGATACATTACAATGCCTTTCAAATAATTCCTAATTCTTAGTTCATTCAATAAAGAACTCATTTTTGAAAGAGAAAAGGGAACATTCCCTGCCAGAAAACTTGCTTTATTGACTCAGCCCTGCTGCCAGCAGGAACATGGTGAAGCAAACTCCAGGATTTCAAAAGCATTTTTTCACAGCGAGGGCAGAAACAAAAAGAGGCTTATTTACCGAAATGTGAGATCCCACAGGTGAGGCCAGAGATGGTCTGAAATCCTCTTCTTTTAGTTCCAAAAGTTTTAATTTATGATGAAGTCTGTAATAATCCTTTCAAGCTGCCAGGTAGAACGCACGCCATATCTCAGCCGTGTTTTCTTTCACCCTTTTGCAGAGTAACTTTGTTATTTGCATAAAGCTTAGTCCTGGCCTATGGGACCTTATGAACATCTACATGTTAGATTAGCTGTCTTGACATGCTCTATCAAGCATGACATCACAGATCCCCATGGTAACCTTAGCCACACCTGCCCAGATGCCAGAGTTACCTGTCATGTTCAGGTCTAAACGAACATAACAAAAAACCCTAAACCACCATTTTCTAGGCAATCAGCCGCTTCAAAGGCACCAGAAGGATTTCAGTTTTATTTTTAATTGATTGAAATCTAATTCCGTTTGCCAAGTAAATTTCTTCTTTACGGAGCACTGCCTGAAGCACTAGGGCTGCTCCTGACCCTTCCACACCTCTCAGCCTATTTCCTAGTCAAACAAAAACTGAAGAAAGCTGTGGCAAACTTCTTCCAGCTCCCTCTCTTATCCCAGGCTCACAAGCTCCTGCTCAGAAAAACTTCTACGCATTCATTTTTGTTCTCTGCCCCTCAGAGAGATTTTTTTAGAGGTGACTTGTAAAACAGGTTCACAGCAGGGATTACCCCCTCCCATTGCCAAGTTAGCATTTTAACCTCTTAATTGCTAACTTCTTTTCAGGTTTGCAGCTACAGACTCAGCTTTTACACTTGTTCCTGCTTTCCTTCTCTGCTGACCAGAGTCAACCTCACCTAAGCAGGTGACCATGTCCTTCCATGAGCTCCACAGCAGATGATTCACACTCTCCGAAACTCAAGACATCCCAGACTGTTGCTTTCTTTTTTTTCTAACTTCTTGGGGATTACATTAGCACCTTCCTTTCATTGCCACAGGTGAGACAGCCTTGGCACAGCCTCCTGCGGGAACTTGCATTACCATAAAAATAAATTTTGTTCCTTGGCTTTACAGGCTTCCAGGTGAAGGGAGCTCTGGTGCCCAGCTGTGGACTTATCTTAAAAGGGGGAAAAGCTGAAATGTGAGGGAGAGCTGCTGAGCTGTGGGTCACAGAGATGTGGCCATTGGGCGCTGCATTCTCCTGTGCTTGGGGGCACAAGGTATGTCTGAAACCCCCCAGGCTGCTGCAAAGTCGTGCTCCAGTTTATCACAGGCCAGCTTAGCTGCAGGCTATTTGCCTTGCTGCAATATCCCAAGCCCCTTGTGCAAATAAAGATGGCCCCTGCCTCTGTGAGCTCTCCTTTCCAGAAAAGGCTATCACAAACAAGGCAACAAACCTTCAGAAAAGAAATGGTCTGTGTGCACAGCTGGGAGGTTTCAGGTCATCACATTAGCTAACCATCAGTAATCCCTGCTGGCATTTTACCTGGCCATGATTGTACTTCTGATTTGTGGCAGATTATCAGGAGCAGAAATGGGTCCTCAGGAGGCACATCCAGGGAGGTATTTATCTGAATAAATGAAGCCTGGAGGAAACCATTAGCACATAGTGGAAGATGCAGACAACATTGAGCTGTCCTTGCTGGTGGAAGTGATACAGGAGGATGTGGAAGCATCAAATGTTTTTTTCCCAGATATTTATTTCCTACAAACAAGGAGTCAGTTTGCCTTACTCAGATAATGATGGCTAAACTGGGCAAGAAAAGAATGTCCACAAATAAGAAACCAGACAATTACCAATCTTGATTTTCTATTGGTTGTGCAGCTAACAGGGCTTAGAGCAACCTGAAGGAGAAATTATATATACATATATACATCTATACCAGGGCCTACCTGCTGACTGTAAATACTGGGGTATTTTAAGTTTCAGCTACATCATTTGAGAGAGATTAGAAAATAGTATTGCATTAACTACTGTCCTTGATAGGTGTCCTACAGTGGGGAAATTCCCACCATGGACAATGTTTCCACTTTATAGATATGGAAAAGCTGAAGAAGAAGGGAAAAAAGGAACCTGGAAAATAAACACTGACATTTTAATGTAAAATAAGACATTTTAAATCATGTCTTCCCATACATCTTAAAAATGTTGTTTGTGATACATGTATATGTTACATATACATACCTACTATATCTGCATGTAGTTTGTCTTCTATACAACTGCTACACACTCATATATATATGGGTGGAAAAAAGGAAGCATGGATGCTAAACATACCTATACACCCTTCAAGGCAAAATTATACTATAGTCTTATTCATGGAGTGGCTAAGAAGTCACACATTATACATACACACACATGCACACACACAGCTGTGTGTAAATATTTATACACACATACCTATGTGTATCCATATACAGTTACATATAAACACACACACACACCAAATACTGATATGTGGGTGTGCACACAGAGAGACACAACTGGTAAGAAAATCCCCCTCTGAACTGTAATGCTATGATCATCATAGTCTTACGGTATCTCATGAGCCAAACAGTTGATACATCACATGCCAACTAAGCAACTTTCTTACAATCAACTTGTATTATTTATTTCTGCATGTTTTTCATGTGGTTTTATTTCAGTTTATACTTTTATAAGGAAGGCTGAATGGCTGGAGTCTTCAGTATTTCCCACTTCCAAGAAACACATTTTGATGCTAGTAGTTCTAAAGTTATTCTGTTTAAAAAAAAACTCATTACACACAACACATATAATAATCACCAAAAAACAGAAGGAGGAGAATGAATTGTACCCTCAATAAATTACTAAGGAAGACACATTTTAAACAAATTTCAAGAGCAGTTACTGCATTCCTTCTGTAATTTACTGCCTTCAGAAAAGGCTCAAATTACAAAATGTGTAGGGTGTAATGCTGTAGGCTGTTCAAACTAGGTTTGCAGTGTCTGCAACACTGGAACTAAATATTTACATGACTCCAAAAGATCTAATCTCTGGATTTCGCCCCCCTCCCACCCCCTTTATTTAATTTGTATGCTATCTTTATCCACCACCCAGCACATTCCACACAGTCACAAAAGTTCATGGAAGAGATAAGTGGAGAGGGAAAGAAGTCAAGACTTTAAAAAGAAAGGAGTAAAACTGCTTAAAAATAAGGAATAGATCATCCTCATTAGAGCTGAAGTCTTGCAGCAATTTTAGCTGGATACAGATGGATTCTAACAGTGATAGCACCTGGGATCTCTAGAGACCCTGTAAAAGAGAAGTTCTAGGGGTGAGTTAACAAATTACAATCTTTCCAAACATGTAACAGTCTGATCTTCAAAGCCTCACAAGTATGCAAAGCTTCAAAGAAACTTGGAATTCACTAAGAACTTCCATAACAGAGTACAATATTTTTCCAACTCATTTTTATTCCTTATTTACAATTAACTTGCTGTTAGTGCTGAAACACCTATAAACCACTAAGGGAAATGAGCTTCTACAAAAAGGCTTGCTGTCAATAATTTGTTAAACTGAGAATAATGAGCACAAGATTTTTTAGACAAAACTCCAAATTCTGATGCTTGACTGAAAAAAAATTAATTATGGATAGATGATAGATTGCCCAAAGAGATTAAATTCTGTTAAAGCACCCAAAACCAGAGTCCAGAGTTAGGACAAGATCCTTGCATGGCAGTTCCTGAATTCAGGAGGTCGGTGTGCGGCAGCCTCCACCTGCTCTGAGAGATACATCAGCGTGTCACCTCTCCTGTGACCCTGCATCTACTGCTCGCTGCTGGGAAGCAGCTGCAGGCAGAGGCACACCACCCTCAGGTATGCTGCTGACAGACGAATGTGGGTGTCAAAGCTCCCTGGAGGAGGCAGATCGTTATGGGTAAGTCTGCTCTGTTTGCATTACAAAACTCAAAAATAGAAAAGAAACCAAATGAAAGGGTAACAGAGCCAGCTAAAGCATACAGACACACTCTGCAGGTATTTTCTTTTCTCCCAGGCAGTGGTGCCAATACTGAAAGTGTAACAGAAGTCAGCAGCTGTTCCATATTTTCCCTTCAGCTGTGAAAAGTAGATTGAGACTCATATACTAAGATCAAGAGTCTCACCTTCACTCCTTTCTCTGAGTATGCTCTAAAAAAAGGAAAAAGTTCTTCAGAAATGTCAATTTCAACAAACAATTCCAAGGTAATACTGAGCAGATTTATTTTGTTTCTTTGAATTTCAAGGCAACATCTGAATCACAGGCCATATCCAAAAATTTGTTTCATACTTTGTTACATTCTCACTTTCTGTAATGAGGTAACACTCAATTTTGTAGGAGTTACAAGGACCATTAAACACACATGATACAAATTTGACTTCCTTACCTGATCTCTTAGTCTCTCCTGGTGTCCCATTATTGCTGTGGCATGGTGGGGATATTTCTGTTTCAGATGCTCAAGAAAAGCCTCTCTCTTCCTGTCCATTTCTGAGGTTTGCATTCCCAGTATTTCTTTGGAACTGCGAGGGCCACCTACTGTATGTCTTCGAGGGATGTTGCGGGTGGACTTTGAACTAGAAGAAGTGTGGCTGCTCGGGGTCGAAAGGAGCTCTTTAGATCGGAGACATTCTGCATCATCTAGTGATGTTACATGCAAACTGGGTTTTGCCTGGTCTGCAAAGAAACAAAAACCAAAACCAGACATCATTTATATTATAAAAACTTAATACCAACATTCACATTAGTTGCAAAATGGAAAAAAAGATTGATATGAAAGCTAGGTACTTTTAAAAGTCTGGCAGTGTGCAATGGCATGTTCTGCATCATTAAGCATATACATATCATAGTAAGTGGCCTAGAAATAATCCCTTATATAAGCTATGCACATACTTATCTACTTTTATCACACAATTGCAGTATTGCCTCACAGAAAAGTGAGTATCATTAAAGTGGATGTTCCTTCTATATCAACTTTACCTACGTGACTTGAAAAGAAGATCTGACAGGGCCCTTATTCCCTGACCTTCAAGATCTACAGGATGCTTTCTATGAGAAGAAACAGATTTCTTCAATAGGGTCCAATACACTTAATGGCCCCATAACTAGTATTCCTAAGGATACAAACTAATAAAATTCCTTTGACAGAGCAGATTTGTAATCCTTAATCTTTTTTTTCAGTGTGTTTTCAACATATTCTGAAACACTCAGGAAATAATAAGAGGGTTTGTGAGTCTCTTTTTCCTGATTTTTGACTATGCTCTGGTTTTAAATTTCATGGATCTCCCTCAGATTTTATGTGTCTCAGGACAGCAGGCTGGAAAATTCTACATCACTTTTCCATAAGCCATTTCTTAAGAAATAGAATAAAAGCAAGTTCAGTGTGATCTAAAAAAGGAAAAAAAAAAAAAACCACTCAGAGAAATTCTACTATTTTAAAATCTACTTAAAGACCAAAGACTATGACAGCATTTGTAAAGAGATAGGCAGACACTGTGAGTATGTAAGTGCTGGCTTATCTTCAGGTAGCTCTGTAACATGAACCTTCTGGTGCTCAAAAAATTGTAGACTGGAGCCTTGTTACCTAATACCTTTGAAAAAATCCCTCACTCCTTTGTCAGCAAAGGGAAGAAAAAAACCAAAAACTAATAAAAACTTGAAGTACTGAAAAGGCCTCTCTAAGTCTGATGTGGCCTTCATCATCTTTACCAGACAGACTCAAATTCAGACGCCCCTGAGTGTTAACCCTTCCCAGCATTTCCCCAGTATTGTAAAATGCAGGCAAACCCAGTGGGAAGAAATGACGATGTCTGACTTTAGTTCAGAAGGCTGAATGACTTCTTTATTATAACTATGCTATAATACATTAGTATACTATATAAAGGAAGATACTAAAACTACAAACTACTTTCTCTAACTACCATATCTAACTAACTCACAACTTGTGACCCTGTTCTCGAGAGTCCAGTCGCAGGTGCTTTGGATTGGCCATCAAGCTCAAACAATCCTCACTAGAATCCAATCAAGCAATCACCCCAGGTAAACAATTCTCTAAGCACATTCCACATGAGAAAAACAAGGAGCAGAAATAGAAATTGTTTTCTCTTTCTTCTCTCTGTGCACCTCTATGAAAAGTCCTGAGAGAGAGAGAAATGTCCCTGACACCCCAGGAGCAGGGAGCTCCTTCTTCTACCTGTTTTGAATAAATCTTTATTTCTCTCTGTCTGACACTTGTTGCCTCAGAGCCCCCTGACGTTTCACCCGCATTCTGCCATTATACAGCACCACTGCTTGGAAACAGGCACCTACTCGCTTTTTTTTATGGTTCAGTCACTCATTCTGACACTGTGTGTGGTAGGCACAACACTTGCCTCAGGATTTTATGCTGAGGATTTCTCAGCTTTCTGGTGCACACTGTCAACTGCCTGCCACGTACCATGGAACCTCAAGCCCCAGTAATAAAGCAACTCCTCCAACGGTGGAGCTGCTGCTGGATGTCCCACCAATTCACACAAGGAATCAATTTTCATTGGGTTCCATAACAGAACTTGCCCCTGGACGGTCCTCAAAGACTTTGCATGTTTCTGTAAACTCCCTGTACTGTTCAAGGGCTCCAAAATTTTCTACAATGCCCTCTTGTTTGCATTCATGGAAACCTACCCTGAAAGCAGGTGAAGGCACTGGGGCTCAGACTGTCACCTGTGGTGACACCAAGTGTCATCTGTGGTCTTCACAGCACCTTCTAAGACCTTCTTAGCAGCACAATCCTGGTTAAACCTCCAGAGCAGCAGCCTCACTTTCGTACACAAACACTCATGCACTCAACTTTTTCAAGCACAACTCAATTAAGAAACATCCGTCCTCTCTGCGTGCTGAAAAGTCATGAGCCACCAGGTACACTGAGTTTGTTTGAGAAAAATGGCAAACAGGAAAGTTTTGCTTGCAAGAAGCCAGCATGGGTACTCCAGATACACTCAGTGAAAACAGTTTCTGAAAGTTGCATAGTCATTCTAATGGATTTTACATAGGAGGGAAACTAGGTGTGGTGGGGCTGGATGGAATATGCCATCTTTAATTTGTTGTGCCAAGAGCCTAGAGGTTATATCCCTCAGGCTGCTGGAAAAAAGGCACAGACATACAGTAAGGGATTTTCGTGGAGCTGGAGGGAGTCAGCATGAGCACAGATGACTGAGTGCAGCAATTTGGTATAAGCCCTCAAAGTATGGTCACAGCAGCAGTTTGAATCACTGAAGTGACAGCAGGCACTTCCTCAAGAAGGCAGGTAAACCTGTGCTGACAAGCACAACCCAGAACTCATGAGTGTGTATTTTGGGTCCTAAATCTCTCCCATGCAAAGTCTTTCCCTACTCTGCACTTCCATCATTTCAATAGTTTAAGAAAGAGCTAATTATTTGGAACATAAAGAGACATATCAAGTAAAGGGTTTTACCACTGTTTGTTATTAGGTGAAACCTTGAGAAGGAATCAAAAATAACATACTTTTCTTATACTGTATTAGAAAGATCAACAAATTCTCTTATTTTTTCTTCACATATTTGGAAAATACTGCATAAATACCAGTGAAAAGAAAGGAATGTAAACTATGCAAACTAATTCCTCATCTTGCCAGAAAGCTGACTTGGGCATCCAGCAAGATCCTGATCCTGCATCATTACGGCACATAGCAGCAAATTACTTTCTCTGCAAACCAAAATCTATTGTGTTTCAGTATGGGTCTTTTCTCTACTAACTGCTGGGAAAAAAAAAAAGTTTTGGACCACTTTCTGGACAGGGATAAGTGACTTCATTGTCAGTTGCCTAGGGCTGAGCACTGAGCTGCTGAAACTCCCCTGTGGATCTCGAGTCACATAAATTCTACAGATGCTGTGTTTGCCACAGTGCTATAGGAAGGAAAAAACAGATTTTCTGGACTTTGGAGAGCTCAATAACATCGTGAGTAAACCTTCCATATCTTCCAAGTGAAGCTAATAGGCCAAGCAAATCAATCTCCACAGATAACTGTGAAATGTGTGAAATATCATGTGATGGTTCCCAGATGAGTACTAAGAGTAGGAAAAGGATAAATTATGCAAGAACCCTCCTTGGGAAAGGAGCAAAGAGAAGGCAATAGAAAGCACAGAGGTGTGAGATAAGCTTGTCTCCCTCTCTCTCCCCCTCATTTTCAGAAGCTAAAAGTTAAAGGTCTTTCTGTTCAATAAAGCAGCAAGTCTAGAGGGCAACTGAATGCAAGATTTGCTGATTGACAGAGAGGAATTTGGTTATCCAAAGGCATGAGTAACTCTTACACTTGATTTGCTTCTCTGATCTGAAAACAAGTTTCAAGATTTCTTAACATCACCAACATCACCCATTACTCCAGTAAAGGCCCAGGTCTGCAGTGTAGGAGGAGTATGTCTGGGATTAGCAGGAAGATTATAATGATGGATTAATGGCTGTGAGCTAGGAGAAAAAGAATAGAAAAATAAAAAAGTCCTTTGATATGTCCTGGTATGTAATTCTTCTAAGTCACACCCTCCATGAAGTCCACAAAGGTCAGGAAAGTCACTTTGCTTCATTACTTTAAATGCTATGAAGATTTTAATAGTCCTGTTTTGCAAGCCAGGTGACATGACAAAAGAACATTTTCAGAATAATTTCAGAAAGGAACAAGTGTGGACCTGACTCATACTGATACTGTGAAATTCAGCCTTGAAGCGAACCCCATTCAATACTAACATTTTAAAAAAGAATATGGATTTAACAGCATGAGTCAAACCAACCTCTGTTACATTTATGTTAGCAGTAAATGTGATATTATTTGGAATTGTTTTAATTTATTTCACTGTCTTTACAATTAGCTCTCTTTCCAATGTAAATTTTGGATAGGGGCCAAAACTACTACATTTGGTTATGAGCTTTCAGCACTCAACATTTTTGGGAACCATAGAATCAGTCTGGTTAGCCCTCTATTTTCCTAGCTCCACATGTATCTGCAGCAGTTTCATACAACTCCTACAGAAGAAATGTGTTACTGAAAGCAGTTTCTTTTCCTAGTCAGACACATTCTTGAAGTGAAGATTTCCGTCCCACTAAACATAAACATGCACAGACACAGGTTACTTGCGATGCTCAGTAATTTTAGTTAAAAAATAATTCAAAAGAGCATCAATCAATGAACACCCAATTAAAAAAAAAAAAAAAAGAACATTTATTTTCCTCCTAAATTGCTAAAACACTATTTGTTGGCATTGCATGCTCATAAACTTGTGTGATTTATTTTAAACCACATGAGCTATTTGTTTCACAGAAGAACAGTAACACAACTTTTCCTGAAGTGCCTTTGAGGAATACAACATGCAAGAAATGGGAATGTTCACAGGTGCCCCACAAAGCACTATAATAGATATAGATTAGATTAGGTGTTTGTCAGGCTACCTGAATGTTGTGTACCCCGTGCAATGGACCATGTAGAATCCTCCAGGAAATAGTTTTCGTTCACTTTATGGGAAATAGATAGTGCAGCAGTGAATGTATGAATGCACAGCGCAGAGCCGCCGTGGAAACCCCGCTTAGACAGTCCTGGCTGCGCTCCAAAACAAACCCCAGTGGTTTCACCCAAAGTAAACTAACCCTGTCACAATCTGCCGCGGATCTCCCGCTTTTAACAGACACCCCGA